CCCAGGAATAAGAACGGCGAGCGCGTTCGGTTTGCTGCACTGCAATCGAAGTATACATGCTATAGTGTATCGCTACAATATAATTATATGATCACCACGAGAATAATACAATTCCAAAAACAAAAAAAAAGTCTAGATGTAAAGAGAAATCATATTTTTTTACGAAAAACTACATTAATAAAACATCTTGTCTCCAAACTATTGGTTAAAAATAAAAATAAAAACATTCCACACGGTGTATACGAGTATAACGCCCACTGCCATCGGTTCGCAATATTTTTTAACATTGTTTATTGCAGACAGTATAATATCGGTCGTCTCGATGTACATAACACATGTATATAAACTATGCAGTCGTTAAAAATCCATTTGGTTCCCGAACGAACGCCACTTAAATTGCCCTCCTTATATTATATACACAATATTATATACGTGGTTATAAACATTAAACACGTCACGAACGATGATAATAATAATTAGAGATAGCGAAAATTGTAAATCAAGTGCAAAACTGCAGCGGTCACCCATTGTAATAATAACAATAACAAATGATTAACGTCTCGGTAAGACGTCCGTAAACGTATTTTTATGAAAATCCATCGTCGACAGCTGATTAAATGGCACGAAATAAAATACACATAGTATAAACGAGAGAACACGAGTCAAAGTCGTGGACTATCGTTATTCGTCTGGAATAATAATTTTTAACAGTGTCTTGGGTTGATAAAAAGTCGAGGTGAAGAGTGTTTCTGACAAGGTGTTGGAGAAACAGAGATGTGTTATAAATTATAAATGCGTTACAAGCGCAAGCGACTGGATTTGTCAAGACTAGTTTACTGAAGATAAAAAATAAAACTTAAGTGGAACCGGTTCGAATATTTTTTAGATGACAACTGACAACTACCAACAATGCAATATTTCACAATATTTATAAAATTATATTATCGCCCACATTAGTAATGCCACTTGGCCAAACAACCTTTTTAATACGAATTATTTTCGGAATTTAACAGTTAACAATGTATGTTAGAAGTCACGTAACGTATTAATTATTATTGTACGGCTGTATAACTTACTATAAACCATAGGTACACAAATAATATACTGTTATGTATAATCAATAACCTACTGATCTTTTGATTACTTCAACTAATTGTTCAACCTGCCATTAGTTTTTTTTTTAATTTGTGACGAGCTTCCACTAATTATCGTATACATGTTTTTGGGCTGGACGATACAACTTTTTTAACCTAATTTTAAGTATAACGCTTGCTTATCGCCATATAGAAACGCTAGGTAATATACATATTATTTATTTTAATTTATACTACTAGATATTTTTCCACTACACTGTTATGTACACGAAAACATATTCATGATTCCTCAATAATTTTCCTTTCGGAGGAAATCTATCTCGTAGCGTGCCGCTATTTTTACATATAGGTATTAAGTATGACTAAAAAAAAAAACGGTATTAAATCGTGATTAACATCCTTGATATCATTTTCAAGCCATTTCTTGTACGCAAACGTTACACAAATTAATAATTAAGAAACGACATAATTAAATTAAACATTATTTCGGCGGTGCCATAAAGGCAAACGAAAAAAGCTGTAAAACTAGTTTGATTGCACAATAAAACCGTAAAGATAAACATAATAATAATTGGGAGGAAATATGGGAATTATTATATAGGTGTAGGTACGCAATGCGTGGTAATATTCGATATAAATGCGGAATTTACCAAAGGTAAAAAATAAAAATACCGCAACACTGCTCAAGATATATTATATGTATATAATATATACCGATCGAGTTGGTTTATTCAAAAAAAATATTCTATTGCCTCGTCGGTGTACACATACAGCCGGATAATAATAATATGTTCGCGATTGCGATCTTCGATCGCCTTGAAGTCTGTGTAGATACCGGTAATAATAATTCATAGACGCGCACACTCACACACACACACACACACACACACACACGCACACACGCACACTCACACACACACATATATGCACACTCACACACACACACATATATGCATAAACAATACAGTGAGGATGCCGCACCTTTCCTGCACCTTTGAAACCACACGGGGCAACCGCGTCGGGGACGTTTTAACTACGCGAATATATTATATTCTAATCAATACCGCAGCAGACGAAACTAATAATTACCTACCTACCGATGTGTTATAGCATCCTATACCACGCGTGTTGTTTTGACATAATATTAAAAAAATTTCCAGTGGTCATGTATTTAAATGAATTTTTATTGAAAAAATACTAAATCATTCTAGACCTATGACATACACCATCATGTACACCAATAATCCCGTGTTAGACATTCCTGCAGTAGTAAAATGTTTTTTTGTGTGCAGTCTATATTTATTAGGTGTCCAAGTATTTTCCATTGTATTTCGTCGAACGTCTCTATTGCTAGGTATTCTATGTTTTACACGATGACTGATCCGCCATCGTCCCACGAAGTAAATGCGGTACATGTCCTGCATACGTATCGTATTCAAGTTATGTTTATAAATCATGCTAAATTTAAACGTTGGTTGCCCCAGCACTGTCCGAGCATACGGCTGTTGTAAATGTAATAATATTGCAGCAACATGTAGATTGATTAATTATTGGGGGGCTATAATATATTTGAAAATTAATAATTTGTGTTTGCTAACAGCTAACAATAATCAATAACGCTACAGCGGTAGCTAAAAACAAAATCGGAATCAATAGTATTTGAATAATAACCTCGTAGTGTTTCAACGCAATGTTTTTTATTCACGAAGAATGTTAACTCATAATTATCAATTATCTACCCGTATTTAATCATAATATAATGAGTAATATACTCATATCGTCATCGCCGCAGTACACAAGGCCGCGTTGGTGGTACAGTTACCGTTTGCAATGCCGCAACACGGAGCTTGTGTTCGAGACTTATCAATAATAATTAGTACCCACGGAGAGAAGTAGGAAGTATCGTCGTATGAAAACAACAAAGTTCTTACGTAAAACGAATGTAATGGGGTCGCTTTTGCGCTGAAAAACCGGGCATAACAATATTACACTCGAACAGGTGGATACGGGCAGTAATCGCTATTCGTCTCGTACAATAATATGATACCAGGCCGACCTGTCATCGCATGCGCGTGAAAATCAGAATTACTAAATAATATTATTACAATGTAGTGGGCGCTATAACAGTCGTTATCGCAAAACGTGTCGGCGAATTCGGACAACATTCGTGCGAGTCGCTGCAGGTCAAACGTACACACAGCTGTGCAGTTGAGGCAAACGGGTACTACATGGTTCCTCTGCAGCTGTGCGATATCGACTAGAAAGCACAAATCCATAGGGCCGTGATTAGAACCACATAACAGGACTTCGCGTATTCCATTCGGATAGAAAGATCCAAATGTTTTGACTTCCATAATCTCTTGCAGTAGCATTTATAGTAACATCAAATTTCGAATTTCCAGACATAATTGTTACTCGCAGATAAAAAAATTGAATAAATTGCAATGACAATAAAGATGATCGATGCGCAAAAATATTAAATACCGTACTATTGCTGTTGTACGACACAACATAGTCTGTGATTAAATCTTTGAGTTTCGATATTGAAATCGGAACGTTGCGTGTCCATAACATAATATGATGGAGGGATTACGCGATTGGAGAACGACCTCAGAATATATTATTAATAATATGCGATATTGCGTTCGTATAACGATTTACCGAACGAGATTTTTTTTCGACGGCCCCATTACGTCGGTCACCGCGAGACGACCTTTCAACGACACGGCTTGTATATTATTGAGTAGAGAATGGGTTTTAAAAAAAAAAATCAAGAGACCCGGTATTTTTTATTTTTATCTTCGTAAATAATCCTGCAACATTATTCGTACGTAATGGTGTTAATGTAACATTTCAATATATTTTCATCGCATATCTAGATATTCTAGAAACATTATCATACCGATGCAAGTATTTTGGAAAAACGGCTTTATAAACCTTATTTTATAATTTGATATAATTTCTCCTTTTTTAAATCTCTAATTGTTCCTTTTTATACGTAACAAACATTTTTTTTGCATTATAGGTACCTACAAAAATATTGTGTACTAATTATAACTCATAAGTTTATATAACATTTTTATAAGTGTCGTATTATCTTGTATAAATATGAAATGCAATAGTAAATTATTAGAGCCGTAGGGAACTCATATTAGAAAAAAAATTCAATAGCTCCAAAAAATATTTCTGATGTTCCTTAATTTATAATACAATATATTACTTTGAAAGTACAAATTTGTTATTTTAACATTGATATTGAAAAGGGGCAACACTGTGGTCATGGCCATGCCTTTAAGGTGGAGGGGATGGGTAAGGCTCTTACTGCGGTACAACCAAACTTTATATTTGAGATCTCATCGGTACATAACTTCAGACTTTATGCGGCAATATTTTAAACCAGTCAATAAAAAATAAGTTATTGATTTCAATAAATTGTGCGTTACGGGTGATTATTAAAAATCGTTAAATTTGATTGAAATCAATTTCTCAGCAGATTATTTTACTAGAAATTTGACTGCCCACTTGTGAAGAGTTAGCTGCTGTGTAGTGGTTTTTCATTTCCTTCTGCACTATAAATAGAACGGGTTGGGTACTGAGTTTGAACTGTTTGTACCGGTACGATTACTCTGCAGCGTCAAACAATGGAACGACGACGACTCTGTCCGAACCAATAGTTGACGCTAGACGCTGCATGGAAAACGGACAAGTAATTGCCACACAACCGCCTCAATCGCTCTGCTATACTTTATTAATTAATTATGTATATCATTGCATATTATTGTGAATTTGTAATCAATCAATGGCTACGCCGTCGTTCAAATTATTACAATTATTGCCATGTTGTATTTCCTATATTGTTATTCATATTTTTATATCAACCGCCTCGTGTGTTTTTCACGTTCGCAGGTACATTCACTCCAAGGAGAAACCGTTCAAGTGTCTGGAGTGCGGCAAAGGGTTCTGCCAGTCGCGCACGTTGGCCGTGCACAAGATCCTCCACCTGGAGGAGTCGCCGCACAAGTGTCCGGTGTGCAGCCGGAGCTTCAACCAGCGGTCCAATCTGAAGACGCACCTGTTGACGCACACGGACATCAAACCGTACAACTGTCCGACGTGCAGCAAAGTGTTCCGCCGGAACTGCGACCTGCGCCGGCACAGCCTCACGCACAACCTGTCACCCGTGTCCGCGGCTGTCCAGCTGGCGTACGCCGCGACCACCGAACTGCAGTCGGCCGCGGTCATCGGCGCCGCGCACGATCGCAACAACGACGCGGCCGCGGACGACTGTGACCGCTGATCTCATTTTGTTTCCGAAGGGAAGAAAAACTTAATTTTTTTTTTTAACGCGAACCCCTCCCCACCCCCACCGCTTAGCAAACCGCGGCGTTAAGTTTTTGATTTTTAATTGTGCTCATATAGGCATCATAGGCTGGATACGTGAAAACGTTGTAATTATAAGCTTGTGAAAAACGAGCATAATATAATAATCAATTAAGTAATTTTATTCATTTCTTTAATTCGTTGATTTATACATATACCTATACAGGGTGACCTGACTGTGTCTTCCCGTTTCCGTTACTCCGCGGCGGACTGATATAATATGTATAATACGATCCCCCACGTTCTTTCTGTTTATGATATATTTTAATTATAATTATTATTTTCTATATGTGATTTGTCATTACTTTACTCGCTAAATGACACGTACGTCATACGTATATTATAATATGTTATTTAAATTCGTCATTATTACCGTACAGTAACCGGACGTATTCGTCTCGTTGTACTATAAAACGTGTACATAATAAAATACATTCATATTATGTTATATATTTTATGTTTGTTAGAGAAAAACTCCTATAATACTAATTCGTAAGTTGTATACATAATAAATGATTTATGTAATTATTATGGCAGTTTAAGTTATTTTCCTTTAAACCGACGCAAATCCTTATAAAATATATTATGATATACTTATATAGGTAACTATATATTCATTAATCGTGCCAGTTTAGTGGATTATATCATGGAAAAGAACATGTTTAGTTGCCTGTCAAAAAAATGGTGTGTTATTCAGATATACATCATGTCCACCGGAACTTGCACAAACGAGGTTCGTATTGATATTAATAAACGCTAATTATTGCTTGTTTTTGTCTCATATATTTATATAATAATTTATAAGATACAGTTTATTGCTTTTATAATAACACTCATACACCAACAAGACCAAACATAAATCTAAAGTTATATTATACGAGTGCAATTATTATGCAGTGATATAAATTTAAAACAATCAATATGTATATTACGTCGATTAAATACTACACCATATGACCTAACCTACCCCATATACTTACAGGCAGTACAACTGCACTCGTAAACATGGAAACTCGTAGACCAGTATCATAAAAAAAAAAATGTATATTATATAATTCAACCGTCTAAGTGGTACATAAATATTCTATATAACTAATATAGTCAAACAATATTATAACAATAATACCTAAGTCAAATTTTGTTTGATATTAACTACATAGATTATAATCAGAAACCGAATTGTTTAAAACTAACTTTCTTTAAATATAAAATACAGCTAGGTATACTATTACAGCTATGCGTATTGCCTATTGGCACAGTCGTTGCCAAATAAATTGCCAAGGTGATGCTTTTCAAGTAGTGTAGCCCAATTAGTCGGGGTGTGCTTCGATTTTCGGTCAAACGGTGAGCACCATTAGGTTGTATATCATAAATTTATAAAATAAACAACCTCAGTTGGCAGTGCCAATATTAATAGATTAATGTGATTTTATGGAAAATATGGAATATTCTATAATATATAGAAAGATATTAACTAATTTATACCACTACTTGTTATTCGGCAATTACATCCAAATACGGAGAACCACTAGTTTTCGGTAATCGTCGAACCAATTTATCTGACGACTGTACCATGCTTACCTGTCAAAAAGAGTTTTCAAATGGGAAACCGTGTAAAAAACTAAGGTTAAAAAATATTACTGCAGAAAAATCGCAGTTTTAAATCAATAACATCATTAGGTACACCCATATATTAGTACCTTCGTTGTCAATTTACAATAGTCTTACCGATTAACAGTGCATGTATCAGCCTTTCGGGGCCTAGGTGGAGGCAAAAATTGGAAAATAATATTTGCCTTTTTGCAGCAAAAATGGCTGCGTGTGCCGATATAGATAACTATTGCAGCGTTCTGCACTGTGGGCAACCATCGTCTCTCTGACCGATTATTCTAATATTATTCAATCATTGGATTGATATCTAGATTTAATAAGGGAGCCCATTGGGCGGTGCAAAGTGGTGACGTGTCCAAAACCTAGACAAATGATGGTTATGTTTTTAGTTGTAAACTATCGTCCCCACCCCGTCTGGTTTTGATTGATGAGCGCTTTTGTTAGGTATAATAATTGCACAGACGTTAAACATAATATTAAACAATCACGGCTAAGCCTAAACGACTTACAGTTTTTGTTTTTTCGTGCGGGAATAGATAGATACAAAAAATAATTGTTACACACCATGGACGACAGCGAATGTTAAATTACGTATCTCTACAGCCGTTCCGCTGTATAATCAGGCATTGTGCCATTATTCCGGTTTCATTCATTGTGCTCGTGTGTAGTTTAAAAACATCCGATAATGCAAAATTAATCACGACAAACGATTCCTGAGCTAACAGCACTCAATAAATTACAAGACGTCGATTTAACAGTTGTGCACGTGTTTTTTTATCTGATCCATAATAAAGCGTTGGCCGGTCGTATAGTAATGTAATACACATATACACATAATTATTACTTGTGAAAAACATATGATTCGATAGATAATTATTTGCTTTTACCCAACAGAAAAACATTTAACACTGTACCTGCAGCAGTATTATATTCCAACCGCAATATCGTGTATACGAGTAAATTACAAGCGAACAGACAAGTTATCATTTTTTTTTATTTTTTTTTTTATCGATATTAATTAAAAACCAGCTATCATATTTGCTATGTGCTTTAGCAATATTTTAATAATATATTATACTATTATGTTATTAATTACTACAAGACTACCTGCTGCACTGGTATATACCTATACGTCTAGCCAGTGCTCAGAGGATAATATAAGAATAAATGAATCGCAGATGATCAAATTGGTAATTGACACACTAAACAAAAACTATGTACTGATAGACAATATTATTTGTGGGTAATATAGGTATATTCGTATCTCTAAGTTTTTATCGTCTACTAAATCCAAATTTAAAATATTTATATTAAAACAAACAGAACGTATAAAATAAACCAAAGAATAAAACTATAAAACCATCACAAGTTTAAATTAACCATATTATAGTATAGTAGTATAATACTGATACTTATACTAAAGCAGCAATAGTCTTCTTAACATATTACAAAATAATTTAACATAGTAAATTATTCAAAATTGTACTAGGGAACTGATATTGTACAAATGTTTAGGATATTATGTAAAAGCTAGGTAAGTAGAATGTATTTTAATATTAAATATTATTAATATAAAATCAATTATAAAAATTGAACGTTGAAAATCACCCGTACATGAATATATGATTTTGTGAAACTAGTGGGAGGAATATTGCACACATTTAAATTTAAAAAAAGTAAAATTTAATATTTTAAACGAACAATATACATTTTTGTTGAGACATTGACTATCTTGTATACTCACATAAGTATTTTATTTCATTTTCATAAAGTAATTTGTGAGTATTAGTTAGTTAAATATATATATATATGAATTATGTAATATTATTAAGTTATACTACGAATGTGGTCAATGCCAAACTCATTTGTGCATCGATTTTCGATTAGGACTTCAGAATTGTATTTTTACATACCGATTTGGTAGATAGATAAATCAAAATAATTTAACTGGATTAAAACGTGTTATAAAAATAAAAAAAAACAAAACCAATTTCGGCTCTTTCTAAACACACAATTTACCTATAATCCTTCCTAAGACACTATCTTACTAAAAAGATATACGAAGAAAACATTGATATCTAAAAGGAGACTTACCCTGACTTGTCTGATTATTTCTTTCAATATTACCCAATAATATACCCAGTTTATTGACAGTTGTTTTATTTTATTATTTTTTCACACAGTTGTAGGTAATAATGTTAATAAAAAAACTTCCGGCCGAAAAGGGGGCCGTCCATTCAACAGTCAACCCATACGTATCTATGTGTAATGGGCATCACTGTTTTCGACCAAAAACATACCCTTCACTTTTCGACCAAAACAAAAGTTTACATAATATAATATGAAAAAAAAAAAATAACTGGTTTATATTTTTTGTAAAATTATGGCAATTATAATTTTGTAAATTGTTAAAAGTATAAGCTTTAATATTTAAATTATAAGAATATCTATATATTAACATAATTTGTATGTTAGTATTTCACAATATGTATAATATTATATAAAAACATTAAATGATAATATAAAAATAAACAAAAATTATGTATATATATATAATTATTAAAAGTATAAGTTGCATAAAATGTTGTAAAATAATGATTAATGCGACTGTGTGTGTTTGAACCTAACCTGACCTAACCTAAGACATTTACACATGTGACGGAGGGAAATTTAAAATATTTTACAATTTTGTTAACTGTAACAAATTTATAGTAGTACATATTTTATGAGCTCATAAGTTATATACCAGTTACAAGCTCGTTATTAAATTATAGTACGGATAACATCTATGATGCTAATATTAGTACTTGCAAAACGCCGAAGACTAATTATGATATATTCATTTTAACTTATAAGTTATGACGTCAGATTTCATACCTACCTATATTGTAAAAATTATGATATAAATTCAGATAGTTGAAGCAATAATGCCATAGGTTGTTCTGCTGATCCGGTGTAACTCTTTAAGTGCTAGTAACAATTTTACGTGAGAAAATATGCTCAAACTTCGATAAATTTTTTGTTCTATTAACTTTTAAAAATATCGCGTATTGAAAAACAATATTATTATATTAAATAGAATTAAATCGAATTAAATCTGATAGTTGCAAACTTAAAACAGTTGAAATAACTATCACACTGTAACGTGCATACGATTTTTAATAACTATACTGTATTCTTCGAGTAACTCTTTAAAAAGTTAAATATGAACAAAAATAGTATAAATAAAAATATCCGTTAAATTGCATATAAGTATTGAACAAGTAAGATGTACATTTTACTGTTTAAGTGCTATGATTGTAATTTGTCCAGTTTCATTAATCAATAAGCGATTAAATATCAACT